AGGCTCTTGAATAAATAACTAGGATTACAGTTAGCCACTGGCACTTGGCTCTACAGGCTTCTTTGGGCTTTTCCTAGTGGGAGGTCCGAGAGTGAAATAAATCAAGGGCCATATGTGCCACCCTGGGGCGGGGGGGGGGGGGGGGGGGTGCTCCTCTGACCATGGAGGAAAGTTCCTCTTTCCCTGAATGTTAGTCTCCTGCTCAGCTTCATTGCTGCCATCCAGAATTGTCTGGGTCTGGGCTTGGGCCTGAGAGAACAGTATTTGTGGGGCCAGTCTGTCCACAGCTCTGTTGGTATTAGGAAACCCATTTCTGCCTCTGAGACCAGAACCAGACTTCTAGAGTGTCTTTGTCTTGCTAATGCCCTCTCTGGTGGAGAAGGGTGGAATGGAGGGAGCTGTGTGGTGAACTCATTTTCTGTGGTAGCACTTGCAGCTTCCCAGTCCTCCTGCCTTTCTTCTTTTCAATGTTTTTAGCCAGCTGCAGCATGCCTTCATGTCTTTATGCCTCCAGCCTGGTTTTGTAGCTACATTCGGTGGAGAGACAGTGAAATGTGCCTACTCCATCATATCTAGAACCTATCTTAATATATTTTGGATCTATCCCTATGTACCTTTTAGCTAGGGCAAATTTGAGACAGTCTAAAATGTATCCAGCCAGACTTCCATAACTGTTCATTTGATTGTTTTACATTTTAATGTTCAAGTCTTAGCAAGCATAACTAGTTGTATAGAAAAAAGTTTTGACATTGACTTGCAGTATAAAGTACCAGCAGCTTTTGAGCCAGAGCTTAAGAAGCTTGCCAGGACCTGCTTGGTAATAAACCCTGAGGATTTCTCATAGCAGTGTTTGATTGTGCAGTGTCTACAAGGAGCACAAGAAGCTTAAAACAGCAAACCATGCAAAGGTAGAAACTAAAAAGGCCCTTAATTATTTCACATCATTTATTACAGATAGAACTAGAACTTATTAACTTCACCTGATTTCTGGCCTGGATAAGTTCAGCGATAGAAAAGTCCTTATTGTTGGGTACTGAAACAGGGCTCTCTGTTTCACAGCTTTAGCACAGGGAAGCTAACTAGGGATTTGCTAGACAAGAAGAGTCTGTTTATCACCATATTTCCTAGAAAAGGTAGGGTATTACTTAATCATCATCATAACCAGAAAACACATTCTTATTTATTACAGAAATACTATAAAATTCCTTTATTGAAAATATTGCTCTTTTTTTTTTTTTTTTTTTTTTGCCAGTCCTGGGGCTTGAACTCCTCAGGGCCTGAGCACTGTCCCTGAACTTCTTTTGCTCTCAAGGCTAGCACTCTACCACTTGAGCAACAGTATCACTTCTGGCCTTTTCTGAATATGTGGTACTGAGGAATTGAACCCAGGGCTTCATGCATGCTAGGCAAACACTCTACCACTAAGCCACATTCCCAGCCCCCAAATACTGCTAATTTAAAGTTTAAGTGTCACCTCTAACTTCACTTAATAATATTTTTTGGGGGGGTCCAGTCCTGGGCCCTGAACTCTGGGCCTGGGCACTATCCCTCAGCTCTTCAGCTCAAGGCTAGTGCTCTACCACTTGAGCCACAGCGCCACTTCCGGCTTTTTTCTTTTTGCTTATATGGTGCTGAGGAATCGAACCCAGGGCCTCATGCATGCAAGGCAAGTGCTCTACCACTGAGCCACCTTCCCAGCTCTTTAGTAATTTATTTTAAGAATGTATATTTTTATTTTTAAAAAATACATCTAAGCTGGGTGCCTGTGTCTCACACCTGTAATCCTAGCTACTCAGGAGGCTAAGATCTGAGTTCAAGCCCCAGGACCAACCCCCAAAAAAGTGTATCTAAGCTAGGTGCTGGTGGCACATCCCTATAAATCCTAAATGCTCTGGAAACTGAGATCTGAGGATCATGGTTCAAAACTGGGCCAGGCAGGAAAGTCCATGAGTCTCACCTCCAATTGAGCTTCAAAAAATGGTGGAGCTAATAGCTCAAATGTTAGAGTGTAAGCCCTGAACATAAAAGCTCAGAGACAGTACCCAAGTCAGGAGTTCAAACTCCAGGACTACCACACGCACACACAAAAGCAAAATATGCCAGGTGCGGGTGGCTCATGCCTCTTAATTTTAACTACTCAGGAGGTTGAGATTGGTTCAAAGCTAGCCTGGGCAGGAAAGTCTGTGAGACTCTTATCTTGAATAAACCACCAGAAAACAGGAAATAGCACTTTGGCTCAAAGTGGTAGAGCACTAGCCTTGAGCTGAAGAGCTGAGGGACAGCCCCCAGGACCAGAATTCAGGCCCCATAACTGACAAGAAAAAAAAAGCAAAATATGGGTAGGGGATATAACTCAGTAGTAGAGTGCTTTCTTAGCATGCAACAGAACCTGCTTTTAGTCTTTGGCACAGTCCCCCCATCCATGTAAGCATACTTGTTTGGGGGCTTGAACTCAGGTCCTGGGCACTGTCTCTGAGCTTTTAGACTCAAGGCTAGAGTTCTACTACTTGAGCTCTACTTCAGTTTTTTTGGTAATTAATTGGAGATAAGGGTCTCAGGGATATTACTGCATTTATTGGCTTCAAACTGTAATCCTCAGATCTCAGCCTCCTGAGTAGGTAAGATTATAGGCATGAGCCACTGGCACCTAGCAGTTGCTGTTTTTGAAGTAAGAAATGCCCACTGTTTTTTTTTTTTTTTTTTTTTTTTATTGTAAAGCTACTATACAGAGGGTTACAGTTACATGAGTGAGGTTATGAGTACACTTCCTCTTGAACATTGTTACCCCCTCCATTGTTTTCCCCCTACCATCCCCTCCCTCCCTCCCTTCCCCGAGGTTCTTTTTTTTTTTTTTTTTTTTTGATTGTGATTAAATGATTACATAATTTCAAAGTCACAAGTTCATTCTAACTTCCCTGGAGCAAATTGTCTACCACAGTCTGTAATATATAACAGTGTTCACATGTTATATACCATATTTGTGATCAGCAGCATGAGGATATTTAGTAGTGGTTCAACCAGATGAGCGGGAGTTCTTTGTTTCTTAAGTCCTGTTAGTTTTGTCGTATCACCTAACCTTTTGGATTTAGCATCCACTTATGAGGGAGACCATGTACCGTTTGTCTCTTCGTTCTTGGCTTACCTCGCTCAACATGATTCCTTCTAGCTCCATCCATTTCCCTGCAAATGCCATTATTTTGTCATTTCTAATGGCTGCATAATATTCCATTGTGTATAGATACCACAATTTTTGGATCCATTCATCTGTGGTGGGGCACCTAGGTTGTTTCCATATCCTAGCTATTGCGCACAGTGCTGCAATAAACATGGAGGTGCACGTATCCTTGTATATTGGTTCCTGTTGTTCAGGGTAGATGCCTAGAAGTGGTATGACTGGGTCGTAAGGGAGGTCAATCTTTAGCTTTCTAAGGACCCTCCAGACTGCTTTCCAAAGTGGTTGTATAAGTGTACATTCCCACCAGCAGTGTAATAGGGTTCCTCTTTCTCCACATCCCCTCCAGCATTTGTCGTTGGCTGATTTGTGGATGTGGGACATTCTGACTGGGGTAAGGTGGTATCTCAGGGTTGTCTTTATTTGCATTTCCTTCACCACCAGGGATGATGAACATTTCCTCATGTGTTTCTTTGCCATTTTTATTTCTTCATTTGAGAAGTCCCTCTTTAGTTCCCTTGCCCATTTAGTAATTGGTTTGTTAGGTTTGGGAGGGATTAGTTTCTTGAGTTCCCTGTATACACAGGATGTTAACCCCTTGTCTGATATATTGCTGGTAAATATTTTTTCCCAATTAGTTGGTTGTCTTTCTAGCTTAGTTGCGATAGATTTAGCTGTGCAGAAGCTTTTTATTTTAAGGTAGTCCCATTTGTCGAGTCTCTCTCCAACTTGTTGTGACCCTGGGACTCTGTTCAGGAAGTTCCTTCCTGTGCCTATTAGTTCAAGTGTCTCTCCTACTCTGTCCTGCAGTAGTTTCAGAGATTCAGGTTTAATGTTAAGGTCTTTAATCCATTTTGAGTTGATGTTGGTGCATGGTGATAGGCTGGGGTCCACTTTTAGTTTTCTGCATGTGGCTGCCCAGTTTTCCCAGCACCAGCGGTTGAAGAGGCTGTGTTTCTTCCATTGTATGTCTTTGGCTCCTTTGTCGAATATCAGCTGGCTGTAGGCCTGTGGATTTATATCTGGATCTTCTATTCTGTTCCATTGGTCTTCGGGTCTGTTTTTGTGCCAGTACCATGCTGTCTTTGTGATTATAGCTCTGTAGTAGAGTTTGAAGTTCGGCATGGATAGCCCTCCCATATTGTCTTTATCCCCTAGAATTGTTTTGGCTATTCTAGGTCTTTTGTTGTTCCATATAAATTTTTGGACTGTTTTCTGTATTTCAGTGATGTACGTCATTGGGATTTTAATAGGAATTGCATTGAATTTGTATATTAGTTTTGGAAGTATCACCATCTTTACTATATTAAGTCGGCCTATCCAGGAGCATGGGAGGTCTTTCCATTTCCTAGTGTCTTCTGCAATTTCTTTCTTTAACTTTTTATAGTTCTCATTAAATAGTTCTTTTACATCTTTGGTTAGGTTAATTCCTAAATATTTTATTTTTTGGGAGGTTATTGTGAATGGGGTTGCTCCCTTTATTTCCCTCTCTTCCTGTGCGTTATCAGTGTATAGGAAGGCAACTGATTTTTGTGGGTTTATTTTGTATCCTGCTATTTTGCCGAAGTGACTTATGATTTCTAAAAGTTTGGGGATGGAGTTTTTGGGATCGTGGAGGTATAGTATCATGTCGTCTGCAAAAAGGGATAGTTTCACTTCTTCTTTCCCTATGCGGATCCCTTTAATGTCTTTTTCTTGCCTTATTGCCCTGGCTAAGGGTTCTAGGACTATGTTGAAGAGGAGTGGAGACAGTGGACATCCTTAGAAATGCCCACTGTTTAAAGAACTATGGGATCTTTGAATTATATTGAAATGCTTTCATTTCTAGGTCATCCATGCCTGGCTGATTGTTTCATCTCTGTTGTTGCTGTTCTTTTTTTCGTTCATTTACCTGGGGTAAGTAATAAACACTTTTGTTTTTCTTTTCAGACACTACAGGGTAAGAGTCTCACAGACTTTCCTGCCCAAGCTGACTTTGAACTACAGTCCTCAGATCTCAGCCTCCTGAGTAGCTAGGATTACAGGTGTGAGCCACCAGTGCCCAGCCAGGTCTCATTACTCAAAGCCATGTACCTCAATGATGAGTCACTCTTATGTTATAATTATTTCCACACATATGTCATACTTGATATAATAAAAATGAGTCAGTATTATTGATAGAAACATTATTTTCTTGTTCTTTGCTTTTAATAAGTAGAAGTACAAGAATTCATAACCACAATTAATTTTAAGCCTGACTATATCATACAAATTAAAATCTGTGAATCAATGTTAAAAAAGGATTTCAAGAATGTATATAAATAGGGCTGGGAATGTGGCTTAGTGGTAGAGTGCTTGCCTTGCATGCATGAAGACCAGGGTTCAATTCCTTAGTACCACATAAACAGAAAAGCCAGAAGTGGCACTGTGGCTCAACTGGTAGAGTACTAGTCTTGAGCAAAATAAGCTCAAGGACAGTGCTCAGGCCCTGAGTTCAAGCCCCAGTACAGGGGATGGAGGGAGGGAAGAATATATAAATATGAATTAATTTTTAAGCTTTTTTTTTTTTTTTGGAGGGGGGGTTGGTCATGGGGCCTGAACTTTGGGTCTGGGCACTGACCCTCAGCTCTTCAGCTCAAGGCAAGCACTCTACCACTTGAGCCACACCTCTACTTCCAGCTTTTTCTGCTTATGTGGTGCTGAGGAATTGAACCCAGGGCCTCATGCACGCAAGGCAAGCACTCAACCACTGAGCCACCTTCCCAGCCCCAAATTTTCTTGTTTTAATCAGTTTTCTTTTCCTCTTAAGTGACTCTGGCCACTGGCTGGAGCATTTGCTGTCCTAGTAACAACTGGCAGCATGATGTGCCTGCATTGCACCTTACAATATTAAGTAAGGTTTTTATTCTAAAGCAGAATAAAATTCAAGAAAAAATTAAATCACATATAAAAGTTTCCCCTGTAAAGGAGGATAAGGCATATATGTAAGTTCCAAAAAATTCTAGCTTTAGCCTGGCATTTAGGACAGTAGACACAAGCTAGGCTCTAGTGGCTAAAATCCTGGCTACTCAGAAGGCTAAGATTTGAGGATCCAGATTCAAAGCCAGCCCTCGCAAACACATACAAGGATCCTTATCTCCAGTTAACCAGCAAAAAGTGCTAGAAGTATGGCGTGGCTCAGGGTTAAGTGACAGCTGTGAGCAAAAAGGCCTGTGTCTAATAAAAAGTATTGACATAGGTGCTCTGGAAGGATACAGATAAAGAGGATGCAGAGGAATGCATTCCTCTAGAGAAGGAAACAGACAAAGTGGGAAGGGAAACTCCCTTTTCATTGTATCTTGTGAATCTATCTAATTCATGTACTAGCTAGCTAAAGATTAGAGTTTAGCCAGGCGCCAGTGGCGCATGCCTATAATCCTGACTACTCAGGAGGCTGAGATCTGAGGATCAGGGTTTGAAGCCAGCCCAGACAGGAAACTCCATGAGACTCTTATCTCCAGTTAATCACAGAAAAAGCTGGAAATGGCATTGTGGCTCAAGCAGTGGCAGTGTGGCTCAAATGGTAGGGCACTAGCCTTGAGTAAAAGGAGCCCAGGGACAGTGCCTAATTCCAGAGTTCAAGCCCTAGGACTGAGGGAACCCCTCCCTCCCCCCCCCAAAAAAAAAGGAAGGTTGGTGTTTCATTTTGTTTTGCTTTATTTGAGTGCTAGGATTTCTAAATGCTTAATACATGTCGCAACATAATTAAATTTGACTAATTAAATTTCACCATTTAATTTGGAATTTCAAAGTGGGAGAAGAATTATCTTCTTGAGTCCTTATAACTCGGTTTGTGTTTAAATATTTTCTTTTTCTTCAGCTACCCACAGCATACTCCATAGTTGTATAATACAGCTTTTTAATGTTCACTAGAGAAGTGCTAAACAATTCAGGGTGTGGCACACTTTTTTTTTTTTGGTCAGTAGTGGGGCCTGAACTCTGGGCCTGGGCGCTGTCCCTCAGCTCTTTAGCTCAAGGCTAGCACCCTACCACTTGAGCCACACTGCCACTTCCAGCTTTTTCTGCTTATGTGGTGCTGAGGAATCGAACCCAGGGCCTCATGCATGCAAGGCAAGCACTCTGCAACTAAGCCACCTTCCCAGCCCCGAGGGGCACACTCTTATAATCCCATCTATTTAAGAGGCAGAGATAGGAGGATGGCAAAGTGATACCAGCCCTAGCAAAAGTACAAGCCTTATCTGAAAAACAAAGAAATGTCTGGCTTATGCATCAAGTGGTAGTACAATTGCCTAGCAAGCATAAGGCAGAATTCAAATGCCAATCACACACGCACACACACACACACACACATACATACACACAGAGCTAAGCAAGTTGGGTGCTGGAGGCTCAAACCTGTAAGACTAGCTACTCAAAAGGTTGAGATCTGGGGCTGGGAACGTGGCTCAGGGGTAGAGTGCTTGCCTTGCATACATGGGCCCTGGGTTCAATTCCTCAACACCACATACACAGAAAAAGCTGGAAGTAGGTGCTATGGCTCAAGTGGTAGAGTGCTAGCCTTGAGCTGAAGAGCGCTCCATGACCAACAAAAAAAGTGTGAAACCAGCCTTGGCAGAAAAGTCGGTGGCAACTCTTATCTCCATCTAACCAGCAAAAAGCCAGAAGTGGAGGTATGGATCAAATGGCAGAGCATCAGCCTTCAGTGAAAAAGACAACAGGGTCAAGTCCAAGAGTTCAGGCTCTATTACTGGCACTTAAAAAAAAAAAAAAAAGCCAGGTGCTGGTGACTCATGCCTGCAATCCTAGCTACTCAGGAGGCTGAGATCTGAGGATTGAGGTTTAAAGCCAGCCTGACATGAATGAATGTCCCTGTGAGACTCTTGTCTTCAGTTAACCACTAGAAAACCAGAAGTGGCGCTATGGCTCAAGTGGTAGAGTGCTAGCCTTGAACTGAAGAGTTCAGGGACAGCACCCAGGCCCAGAGTTCAAACCCCATAACAGACAAAGTCCATGAAACCTTATCTCCAATAAACTACTCAGAAGAAGCCATAAGTGGTGCTGTAGCTCAAGTGGTAAAATGCTAGTCTTGAGCACAAAGAGTCTCAGGGACAATGCCCAGGCCTTGAGTTCAAGCCCCAGGACTGAGGGGAAAATCATGGAATTTCCTGCTCAGAGTAGCTTTGATCCTCAGATCTCAGTCTCCTGAGTAGCTAAGTTTATAGACATGTCACCAGTACCCACCACTTCCCCCTTCTTTTTTACTTTTCTTTTTTGTTGTTGTTGTGGGGCTTCGATTCTGGGTATGAGCACTTTCTCTGTGCTCTTCAGCTCAAGGCGAGTGCTCTACCACTTGAGCCACAATGCCACTTGTGGTTTTCTAGTGGTTTTGGGAGTTAAGAGTCTCATGGACTTTCCTGCCCGGGCTGGCTTTAAACCACAATCCTCAAATCTCAGCCTTCTGAGTAGCTAGGATTACAGGTGTGAGCACCAGCACCCAGCTACCTCCCCCTTATACACTATTTCCCATAAATAGGATTGTGATTTTCAAGCAACATGATTGTGTGTGCATATGTGTGTGTACATAAAGATATTTTTTCTAGGGGCTGGGAATGTTGCCCAGTGGTAGAGTCCTTGCCTAGCATGAAACCCCAGGTTTGATTCCTCAGTACCACATACATAGAAAAGGCTGGAAGTGGTGCTGTGGCTCAAGTGGTAGAGTGCTAGCCTTGAGCTGAAGAGCTCAGAAACAGCATTCAGGTCCAGAGTTCAAGCTCCATTACTAACAGATAGAAAAGTTTTTGTTCTTATTTTTGTAGTTGTGGCCTATGATACTGGTTTCTTATTTACATGAATGATACAGTTTCATGTTGAAGCTGCACATGAGAAAAAGTGGGGCAAATGGCACATGGGGGCAAATGGGGCAGTTCATGGAGGGCCTGGTGCAGTGTAAGAAGGGGGAAGCAGAGTTGTAATCACTCACATTCATTTTCCCTTTCCTTCCTTCCTTTTAGGGAAGTGTTTAAGACCTACAATGTGGCAGTGGACTATATCACAGTTGCGCTCCTGATCTGGAATTTTGGTGTGGTGGGAATGATTTCCATTCATTGGAAAGGTCCACTGCGACTACAGCAGGCCTATCTCATCATGATCAGTGCCCTCATGGCCCTGGTGTTCATCAAGTACCTACCTGAGTGGACTGCATGGCTTATCTTGGCTGTGATCTCAGTATATGGTAAAGCCCAAGACCCCTGGCCATCACCAAAGTGCCTCCTCCTCACTTCTCCTCACTTAGGGAAGACTTTTGTGTGTTTCTCTCCAGTAGCCTGAACCCTGAGGTTGAGGTCTTTTTTTTTTTTTTTCTTCGGTCGTGGGGCTTGAACTCTGGGCTTAGGCACTGTCCCTGCGCTCTTCTGCTTAAGGCGAGGGCTCTACTGCTTGAGCCACAGTGCCACTCCTGGTTTTCTAGTGGTTTATTGGAGATAAAAGTCTCATGGACTTTCCTGCCCAGGCTGGCTTTGAACCTTGATTCTCAGATCTCAGTCTCCTAAGTAGCTAGGATTATAGGCACAAGCTACCGGTGCCTGGCGGTTGATGTCTTTTAAAATGTTTAATTAATGCTTTGGACTTCTGCCTCAAGACTTAGATTCAGCATCCATCTCTTAGCATTTGTGAGGCCCTGGGTTTGATCCCAAGCACTACCAAAAAATAAATAAATAAAACACAACAAAAATTCTCTGTCATCAGCTATTTGTGAGTTTTAGGGAAGTAACTCTAGCTTTTTGGCCTTCAATTTCCTCATTTGTGGGGTTTTGTTTTGTTTTTGTTCTTTGATGGTACCAGAGTTTGAACTGAGGGCCTTGAACTTGCTAGACATGTGCTCTACTACTAAAGCCATGCTTCTAATCCTTTTTTTGCTTTGGGTATTCTTATTTTTTTGATAGAATCTTGCATTATTGCCTGGGTGGGATCAAACTATAGTTCTCTAGCCTGTGTTTCCTGTATAGATGAGATCATCAGCACACTACCACAGCAGGCTCATTGGTCAAAATGAAGTTTTAATAACTTTTTGCCCATGCTGGCCTCCAACCACAACCCCTCTGATCTCTACCTCACTAGTAGCTGGAATTATAGAATTGAGATACTGTGTGTTTAGTTTCCACATTTGTAAATAGGTAACAAAGCTATGGAGTTGTAAGGGTTGATAGAATTGAATTTATATTGAAAAGCACTAGTAGAGTTTGTGACACAAAATATCTGATTCAGTTTTTGTGTGTGTGTGTGTGTGCCAATCCTGAGGCTGAACTCAGGGTCTGGGCACTTGTCCCTGAGTTTTTTGTTCAAGGTTGGTGCTCTTGTCACTTAAGCTATAGCTCTACTTCAGGCTTTTTGGTAGTTGATTAGAGATAAGAGTCTCATAGTCTTTCCTGCCCAGACTGGCTTTGAACTATAGTCTCCAGGTCTCATCCTCCTGAGTAGCTAAGATTATAGATATGAGCCACCAGCCTCCAGCTATTGAATTCATATTGTGTGTGTATATAGAGTGGAGAGGGGGATCAACCCACTTTATTGAGGCTCAGAGGCTGGGAGGAGTTGAAAATACACCAAAGACAGCAAATTGGTGTCCTCAACAAGGCAGACCATTGCCTTCCCAGACCCGTAGTCTCAAAAGATTGTATTCATTTCTAAAATCAAGTCAGGTCACCTTTGTATTTTAAAGCAACTTGAGCAGAATTATTCATTTAAAAATTAAACTTGCCAGGACTGGGAGTATGGCACAGGTAGTAACCCTGAGTGTACACACACACACACACACACACACACACACACACACACACACACACACACACACACACACACACACACACACACACACACACACACACACACACACACACACACACACACACACACACACACACACACACACACACACACACGCCAGGCATTGTGGGAAATGCCTATTATTTTAGCATTTTGGAAGCAGAAGCCCAAGAATTGAGGTCTTACTATTCTCAAAAAAAAAAGTAAAAGTTCTGAGCATCAGGTTTGTATCTGTAAAATAGGCACAATTACTATTTATTCAAAGTGAAATCTAATAGAGGTCTGTGGATATAGTCCATAATAAATAGGGGCAATGAGGAGGTCCCCAATTAAAAAAGGCCCCCAATTAAAAAAAAGAACTTGAACCTCACTTTTCAAGGAAATTTAATTTTTGAGCTGGTTTAGTTCAATGACAGTTCTGTGCCAGTCATGGTGGTATATGCCTACAGTCCCATTTGCTCAGCCTAATTTTTGGGGCCTGAACTCTGGGCCTGGGTGCTGTCCCTCAGCTCTTCAGCTCAGGGCTAGCACTCTACCACTTGAACCACAGCGCCACTTCCAGCTTTTTTCTTTTTGCTTATGTGGTGCTGAGGAATCGAACCCAGGGCCTCATGCATGCAAGGCAAGTGCTCTACCACTGAGCCACCTTTCCAGCCCAGGTTCAAGTTCTTTAGCAACAAGTGTATAGGTCCTGAAGTCAGAACATATGCCATCCATGAGCAGCCAAGGAGCTATTGCTAGAAGTACATTCATTTTTGGTCAGTCAGTGACCTTTACCTCGTAAAGACCATGGTGGCTTATCACTTTTCAGATACTTACTGAAGGGTGTGTGACCCACAGTGGGAGACCTTGCCATCTCCATTTGATTGACAAAAAGCTTAGGGAAATAGAATAGAGCTGGTTTAGTTCAATGACAGTTCTGTGCCAGTCATGGTGGTATATGCCTACAGTCCCATTTGCTCAGCCTAAAGCAGGAAGATCATTTGAGCTGTGAGATCAAGGTGAACCTTCATAACATAACAAGATCCCATCTTAAAAACTTGAGCTGGAGATATAGGCAGAACTCTTGTCTTAGCATTCATGAGGCCCTGGTTTCATTCCTCAGCAAAACATACACTCACTCAGACTCCCTCTCCCCTTCTCTTGAAGATAGAATGCTTTTGATCCAGACACACACATCTGCGCACAGAGTTCTGAAGATGGAAGGCTTGAGACTCAGACTCTTCATTTACTTTCTTCGTGACCTTTGTTTCTTTAAACCTGAAGTGTCAGTTGTTGCAAATAGGAAATTATAAAAGTTAGCCATCTTTTAAAATATAAAATCCTGGGCTGGGACTATGGCTTAGAGGTACACCGCTTGCCTAGCATGCATGAAGCCCTAGGTTCAATTCCTCAGTACCACGTACACAGAAAAAGGCAGAAGTGGTGCTGTGGCTCAAGTGGTAGAGTGCTAATCTTGAGCAAAAGAAGCTCATGGACAGTGCCCAGGCACTGAGTTCAAGTCCCAGGACTGGCAAAAAAAAAAAAAAAATCCTGTGAAATAAAGTAGTTATTGCTTATTTTTGCTAAGACACTTGCAGTTTATATAGCTAAATTACTCATATAAGCTCATTGTAGTTTGATATAGAATCTGAATGCTTTCCAATGTTCTTTCCACTGCATTACATTATTTCCTCCATCAACTCTTCTTAATTTTCATTCACTTTAATTGCTCTAAAAATAACTTGAATTTTTTCATTTTAAAATTCTATAAGAGGAAGTGTGTCATAAAAACCAAAATAGTTACAGGATGTGGCAACTTCAGACAAGCTGAAGATCTCATTAGTTCAGATTAAAGCAAATCTCTACCCCTTGTTTTGTTTGGCGGTACTGGATTTTCAATTCAGGGCCTGACATTTGCCAAGCAGTCATTCTACCACTGAGCCATACTCTCAAGCCCTTCCGTGAATGTGTGTTTGTGCGCGCGAGTGCATGCGCGTGCACGTGTGCTTGCTCACACACTTTAAGTTTTAAACTTTAAATTCAAGGCCTCAACGCTTTTTTTGCTCTCAGCAGGTATTCTGCCACTTAAGCTATGCCTCCAGTCTGGGTTTTTGATGGTTAATTAAAGATAGAATCTCTCACACTGTGATAGGATTTCAGCGTGAGCCCCAGCACCTAGCTTTTAGTTTATTTTCTGATAGGATCTCATGTTTTTGACAGGGCTAACCTTGGGTCACAATCCTACTTCCACTTCCTACATATGTAGCCGAGATGGTAGATGAGTGCCACCACACCCAACCCTCAAATTTCCCTCTTTTCATTCAAACAAATATAAATTGAAGTGGTGGGATTATATGTCTGTGTGTTCTTTTTACTGCTATTATTACATAGAAATGTGACTAGTTGTAGGCATAATTTTTTATACTTAAATGCATCTAAATAGGAATCCGTATAAGCTATTGAGTCTTCATTTACAAATTTAGCATTATGTGCTTAGAATTTTTTTCTATTTCCATACTTTGAATTTTTGTTAAAGAAGATGTAAGGAGGGGCTGGGAAGGTGGCTCAGTGGTAGAGCACTTGCCTTGCATGCATGAGGCCCTGGGTTTGATTCCTCAGCACCACATAAGCAAACAGAAAAAAGCTGGAAGTGTGCTGTGGCTCAAGTGGTAGAACGCTAGCCTTGAGCTGAAGAGCTGAGGGACAGCGCCCAGGCCCAGAGTTCAGGCCCCACGACCGGACCCCCCCCCCCCAAAAAAAAGGAAGATGTAAGGAAAATTGTAATTCATAGAAGGAAATGGTGGTAGAATTAGAAATAACTTAGGCATATTGCTTCTTTTCTGAGTTGCTTTTTTTTTTTTTAAGTCTCTAGCACCACATGTTCCAAGACCTGAATATTTGTGAAGTACTTTTATTTGACTGAAAACAAATGCTGACTTTATCATGCTGAAAGTTACTCATTTTGCATTGTTCATTTTGTTTCTTACTTCAAGTGCCCTCGAGATACATACTTTCCTTGTGGCACAAAAACAGAATGTAGAGCCTTGCACATGCTAGCCAAGGGCTATACCACTGAATTCCACTTCCTAGTCCTATGTTGTTTTGAAAAAGAAGTGATGAGCCAAGCATGGGTGCGCACATCTATATTCCTAGCAGTTCAGGAGGCAAGCAATCCAAGGATCATTGTTCAATGCCAACCCAGGTAGAAAATTCTGTGAGAGTCTTTATCTCCAATTAACTATCAAAAAGTCAGAAGTTAAAGTGTGATTCAAGTGGTAGAATATCAGCCTTGAGTGAAAAAGCTAAAGGAGTGCCCAGACCCTGAGTTCAAACCCTAGTACTGGCATAATAAATAAATAAATAATAGATGGCGCTTTTCTGACCATTTTTCAAGGAGTTGAGCATTTGGGTTTAAGCTTCTGTTGTAGCTTCTAGGTAGACTTATTCATCATAGTTACAGCCTCTCTATAATACTTATCTCTGCCTCTTTCCTTCAACCTAAGAAGAATTATTCCTAGAGCCCACTGAAGATGCACTGTAGACTTCACAAATAGCAATAAATCAATTTGCAGAAATCTTCTGTGTATACAGACCATCAGCACCCTGGTTGACGTCCAGGTGCTGAGTTCAAGCCCCACAGCCAACAGAAGAAAAAAAAATGCTTAAGGCAGCATTGCAGAAGTCAGTGATTTCTTTTTCTTTTTTTTTTGGTCCGGTAGGGGGGCCTGAACTCTGGGCCTCAGCGCTGTCCCTCAGCTCTTCAGCTCAAGGCTAGCGCTCTACCACTTGAGCCACAGCACCACTTCCAGCTTTTTTCTTTTTTGCTTATGTGGTGCTGAGGAATGGAACCCAGGGCCTCGAGCATGCAAGGCAAGCGCTCTACCACTGAGCCACCTTCCCAGCCCCAAGTCAGTGATTTCTATAGAGCAGTAAGGGCCTACTGTTCACTTGTGCAGTTCCTTCTGTGTTTCTGCTGCTCATTTGGAATTTTGTTCTCGATAGCTACAATGGTGTGGTTGATGAATATGGCCGAAAGAGACCCAGAAGCCCAAAGAAGGGTGCCTACAGTACTAGTTTTTGGTTTTGGGGGGGGTTTTTTTGGTTGGTCAAGGAGGCTGTACTCTGGGCCTGAGCGTTGTCCCTTAGCTCTTCAGCTCAAGGCTAGTACTCTACCACTTGAGCCACAGCGCCACTTCTGGCTTTTTTCTGCTTATGTGGTGCTGAGGAATCGAACCCAGGGCCTCATGCATGGCAAGGCAAGCACTGTACCAATGAGCCACCTTCCCAGCCCCTTGGTTTGTTTTTTTGTCAGTCTTAGAGCTTGAACTCAGGGCCTGAACACTGTCCCTGAGCTTTTGTGCTCAAAGCTAGCACTCTGCCACTTTGAGCCACAGTTCTACTTCCAGTTTTTAGGTGGTTAATTGGAAATAAGGGTCTCATGGACTTTCCTGCCCAGGCTGGCTTTCGACCGTGATCCTCAGATATTAGTTTCTTGAGTAGCTAGGATTATAGGCATGAGCCACCAGGGCCTGGCAATGCTATCTTTTAAATATTGTAAATAGATGTATGTTTTATTTTTTATTTTTTGGGTCCAGTCCTGGGGCCTGAACTTGGGCCTGGGCGCTGTCCCTCGAGCTCTTCAGCTCAAGGCTAGCGCTCTACCACTTGAGCCACTTCCAGCTTTTTTCTTTTTGCTTATGTGGTGCTGAGGAATCGAACCCAGGGCCTCAGGCATACAAGGCGAGCGTTCTACCACTGAGCCACCTTCCCAGCCCCTAGATGTATGTTTTATTTAGGATTCAAGTTGCTTTTTCTCCAACAAGTTCACCTGCCCATTATTTTGTAATCATTTAACATCTTTTTTTTGTAAAAGCAAAAATCTTGAATCCCTTTCCTTCAGTTAATCCTTCAATAACGTTTAGCCAGTATAATACATCTTATCAGATATCATTTTTTGTTTTTCTCTTTCTAGATTTGGTGGCTGTTTTGTGCCCAAAAGGTCCACTTCGTATGCTGGTTGAAACAGCTCAGGAGAGAAATGAAACACTCTTTCCAGCTCTCATTTACTCCTGTAAGTATTTCAGAATAGTATTGAATTAGCACATTCAGTTTTTCAGAATTATGTTTTAATCTTTTAAAGCCAAAGAGAATCTTGTGTGGTTTTTTTTTGTTTTGTTTTTGTTTTTTGTGTATGTTTCCATCATGGTGCCTGAACTCTGGGCCTGGGTGCTGTCCCTCAGCTCTTCAGCTCAAGGCTAGCACTCTACCACTTGTGCCACAGCACCACTTCTGGCTTTTTATGCTTATGTGGTGCTGAGGAATGGAATCCAGGGTCTCATGCATGCAAGGCAAACACTCTACCACTGAGCCACCTTCCCAGGCTCCTTGTGTGGTTTTGAATATGTATTTACTTGTGGTTGTTACAAATGCTTAAGGCTGGAAGTGGTGCTGTGGCTCAAGTGGTAGAGCACTAGCTTGAGCAAAAGAAGCTTAGAGACAGCACCCGGCCCTTGAGTTCAAACCCCAATAATGGCAAAAAATAAAAGAAAATCAGTCTTGGAAGTGGCACTGTGGTCAAAGTGCTAGTCTTGAGTGCAAAAGCTCAGTGACAGTGCCCAGGCCCTGAGTTCAAGCCCCACCACCAGCAATAACAACACAAAAAAAAGCTGGACGCACTGGTGGCTCAGGACTGTGATTCTAGCTACTCAGGAGGCTGAAATCTGAGGAAGATTGCCGTTCAGACCCAGCCCAGGTAGGAAAGTCCATGAGACTATTTTTAACTCCAATTAACCACCGGAAAACGGGGCGTGGCACTGTGGCTCAAAGTGATAAAAGTCCTAGCCTTGAACAAAAAGAGCTCAGAGGCAGTGCCAAGGCCCTGAGTTCAAGTCCCCCAATAGAAAAATAAATGCTTAAGGCAGCATTGCAGAGGTTGGTGATTTCTGTAGAGAAGGGCCTACTGTGCACTAAAGCACTTCTGTAGAGAAGGGCCTTCTGCTGCTCATCTGGAATTTTGTCTTTCTCAATAGCTACAATGGTGTGGTTGGTGAATATGGCCGAAGGAGACCCAGAAGCCCAAAGGAGGGTGCCCAAAAACTCCAAATACAACACACAAAGTAGGTGCTTTTTATTTGGGAGTTTCTTTCTTTTATAGGATCATTGTCATTTTATAGCCTCTTTCTTTGTTCTTAGATTTTTTTTTTTTTTTTGAGAATCTCCTAAAAGAGCTGTGATAATCCCCAGTAAACACACAGATAGATATTTAAGGATCCCAGAGACTCTAAACACAACCCGTAGTCAGGGCACCCTGGGTTAAGTTTCTGCCATTGGATACATAATACCAGTGTATAAAGGTTCAGTTGAAGATAGGATTTAGCTATGATTTAACAATAAGAAAAATCTAAGCTCTGTCTTATCTCTTATCTAAGCTCTTGTCTATCTTTCCAAATATGGAAAGATAAGACCCTCAGCTGAGTATAATGTTAAACACTATACTATAATGCCAGCACTCAAAAGACTAAGCAGAAGAATTGTGAATTCAAGGCTAACCTGGCAGAATTAAATATATATATACACACACACACACACACACACACACACACACATATACACACACACACAAACACATACATGCATACATATAGGAGGCGCACATAAATTGACATGCTGAACTGAAACCCTTTAGTACAACTACTTAAAGGTAGCTAAAAAAGAAAAAAAAAAAAGTGCCAGTGGCTATATGCTCTTACCTACTCAGGAGGATGAAATCTGGCTTATCTCTAATAAAACAGCAAAAATCTGAAAGAGCCATGGTTCACGTGGTTGAGAACCAGTCTTGAGTAAAAAAGCTAAGGAGGAGTAGGAGGCTCTGAGTTCAAACCCCAGTACTAACACAAAGAAAATAAATTTTTTTAAAAAAAGAGTAGAGCACAGTGGTAGAGCACTTGCCTAACATTTATGAGGTTCTGGGTTCAATCCCTACCATAGAGAGGAGAGAGAAGAGGGGAAATGGTTAGCTTCATTTATATACATATATATTTTTAATATTTTTAATGTATGAAAGTTTCTCAAGATTTTAACTATTAATATTCAGTCAGGTTGAGTTACTAAAGCCAGTGAAGAGTACCACTCAACTACAAGAATTTACAAGTGGCGCTGTAGCTCAAGTGGTAGAGCGCTCGCCTTGAGCTGAAGAGCTGAAGGACAGCGCCCAGGCCCAGAGTTCAAGCCCCACGGCTGACCAAAAAAAAAAAGAATTTACAAACCCAGGCTGGGAAGGTGGCTCAGTGGTAGAGTGCTTGCCTTGCATGCCTAAGGCCCTGGGTTTGATTCCTCAGCACCACATAAGCAAAAAGAAAAAAGCCGGAAGTGGTGCTGTGGCTCAAGTGGTAGAGCACTAGCCTTGAGCTGAAGAGCTGAGGGACAGCACCCAGACCCAGAGTTTAGGCCCCATGACCGGACTAAAAAAAAAAAAAAAAAGAATTTACAAACCCAAATTAGTTGCCATAAACATAGAAGAAATGTGTTCTTTGGTGTGGGACAAGAAGTCACCCAGAAAGGGAAGGCATTTGTAGGACTGGTTAATCCTGAGACTCACTGCTCCCCATGGTCATAAGGATGCAGTTACAAGCATCATATCCAGAGCAGGTAACATACAGGGGCAGAGGCTGTTGGTTTCTTCTTTGGAAAGTAGAAAGAAGGAGAAAAATATTTCAGATTTCAGCAGACTTTGCTCAATACCTACTGGCTGGTTCCAGGTAGCAGCCCTCAGGCATAGGGCTTTCTTTGGGAAAAGGAATGGAGAAACCATCATGTCTGACTTGGCTTGACCAGTGTCATGGGTGAGGGATGGAAGCCCAAGCAGAGCAGAGCTGTGCTGTCCACTTATACTGGGGAAGTAGCAGCTGTGTAAGCAGTCAGCAGACATGGAATGGCCTTGGTTTGTGGTAAAGGAGCCAGCCACCCTAATCATCATGACCTCTGGTTGTCACTCTTCACTTGATTTGCTTAAAGATATAAGGAAATCATTCTAGGTATTAGAGCTATAATTTCCTCTTTTTCTTGAAGGCACCGAAAGGGAGGCACAGGAGACGAGTTCAGAGAACGATGATGGTGGCTTCAGTGAGGAGTGGGAAGCCCAAAGGGATAGTCATCTAGGGCCTCATCGCTCTACCTCCGAGACACGGGCCGCCGTCCAGGAGCTTTCCAGCAGCATCCTCACCAGTGAAGATCCAGAGGAGAGTATGTATATTTTCCTACGTTGCAAGGCCGTGGGTTCTTTTCGGTAGAGGCTTTATTGGGTTCCTTTAGGTAGTGGCTTTATCAACTCTGCAAGAATAAAATGAATATTATGATAGATAACTAATACAATGTTAACACTATAGCTTTTAGTGAGAAATGGTTAAAATTGCCAATAGACCAAGTTCTCCCCTTGAGGTTTTTTATATTTATCCCTTACAACTTGATTGCTGGCATTTATTTTATAAAATAGAAGATTTTTTACATTTTTATGCCAGTAAGATGGAATGCTATGCCATTTGTGCATTAAAAACAAACAAACAAAAAAAATTAGCCAGGTGCCAGTGGCTCATGCCTGTAATTCTAGCTACTCAGGCCAAGAACTGAGGATAACAGTTAAAAGCCACCGGGCAGGAACTGTGAGACTCTTATCGCCAATTAACCACCAGAAAATTGGAAATGGAGCTTTGGCTCAAAGTGGTAGAGCGCTAGCCTTGAACAAAAAGAGCTCAGGGACAGTACCCAGACCCCACATTCAAGCCCAACACCCAACAAAAGAAAAAAAAAACAGGGCTGGGAAGGTAGCTCAGCAGTAGAGTGCATGCCTTGCAAGCATGAGGCCCTGGGTTCAATTCCTCAGCACCACATAAACAGAAAAAGCCGGAAGTGGCGCTGTGGCTCAAGTGGTAGAGTGCTAGCCTTGAGTTGAAGAGCTGAGGGACAGCACCCAGAACCAGAGTTCAGACCCCATGACTGGCAAAAAAAAAAAAAGAAAAAAAAATAAAGCACATTAATATAGTTCTTATTTTTCGTTACATGGATTTATGTTTTAACAGTTTTCAGTGTTATTGCTTTTGTTGGCAAACTTTTAGTACATTAATTTTAGTGAAAATCAAAGAGATTTGAATATTGGCAGAAGTGTAAGCATTTTTCAGTGTCTATGTCACATAGCCACTTGATAGACCAAATTTAGCTTTTGAGACTTGTTAGACCATTATCAACTAGCAGAGTCTCCTGGGGTCAGTCTCTTCATGTAAGAGGTGTGATTTGTTAAATAAAAGATTATAGTACATTTTCCAATTAAGCTGTCTTCAGTTTTTTTTTTTCCATTTTCCCTAAAATGAAACTTGATTAGAACCTTGTACCTAGAATGTGAAATAGCTTTAAAGGAACAAATACCTGCTGGGCGCTGGTGGCTCATGCCTATAATCTTAGCTGCTCAGGAGGTAAAGATTGAGGCTCAAAGCCAGTCCTGACAGGAAAGCCATGAGATTCTTATCTCCAGTTAATTACCAGAAAACCAGAAGTGGTGCCATCGTTCAAGTGGTAGACCGTTGGCCTTGAGCTGAAGAGCTGAGGCCCAGAGTTCAAGCCCCATGAATGACCAAAAAAAAAGAAAGAAAAAAAGAAAAAACACCTCTTAAAAAAAAACACGGGGGCTGGGAAGGTGGCTCAGTGGTAGAGCACTTGCCTTGTATGCCTGAGGCCCTGGGTTCGATTCCTCAGCACCACATAAGCAAAAAGAAAAAAGCCGGAAGTGGCGCTGTGGCTCAAGTGATAGAGCACTAGCCTTGAGCTGAAGAGCTGAGGGATAGTGCCCAGGCCCAGAGTTCAGGCCCCACGAACGGACCCAAAAAAAAAAAAACACACCCTAGATTGTTTAGCTTCTTTGGTCATTCATCACTGGGTCTTAACATTACCTTAGCTTGAGCGGAACATTTTGGGGGGGGTTGTTTGTTTTGCCAGTCCTAGGGCTGGAACTCAGTGCCTGGGCACCCTGAGCTTCTTTTGCTCAAGGATAGTGCTCTACCACTTGAGCCACAGCACCACTTCGGCATTTTCTGTTTATATGGTGCTGAGGAATCGAACCCAAGGCTTCATGCATGCTAGGCAAGCGCTCTACCGCTAAGCCACATTCCCAGGCCCATGAGCGGAACATTTTTATAGCTCTCCTTGACTCTTCCAAATCAGAGTTTTCCTTGATACATCCACGACTTCGGTGTTTTTCTGCGCTTTGCCGCTGTCGCAGCCAGCCCCAGCCGTGACTTCACATTCCTGGGTGGCTAGGTGCATTGTCTGTGCTTCTAGCCTTTGCTTGCCACTGCTGGTTTCTTTTCTACTCTCAAATTGTCCACCAGAGTTAGGTCACTCTTCCAGTCCCGCTCCTCTTTCCAGAATAATGTGGTTATTATTGACCACAGCCACAGTTAATGCTTTAATTATGCCCTTTTTTAAAATTTTGGTCAGTTGTGGGGCTTGAACTCTAGGCCTGGGCACTGTTCCTGAGTTCTTCTGCTCATAGGCGGTGCTCTACTTGAGCCACAGCACCACTTCTGGTTTTCTGGTGGTTAATTGGAGGTAAGAGTCTCACAGACTTAACTGCCTGGGCTGTCTCTGAACTGTGATCCTCATATCTCAGCCTCCTGAGTAGCTAGGATTTCAGGTGTGACCCATGGGTGCCCAGCAACTTTAATTATGCTTGCTTATTTTTTTTTTTTTAATTTTTTTTTTTATTATGGGGCTTGAACTCTAGGTCTGGGTGTTGTCCCTCAGCTCTTCAGCTCAAGGCTAGCGCTCTACCATTTGAGCCCTACTGCCACTTCTGGCGTCTTCTGCTTATGTGGTGCTGAGGAATCAAACCCAGGGCCTCATGAATGCAAGGCAAGCACCCTGCCACTGAGCCACCTTCCCAACTCTAATTACGATTTTTTAACTTAAAGATTTCCTCTCCTAGTCATCTCTTTTTCCTCCTTATCTTTTTTTTGGCAGTCCCAGAGCTTGATCTCTGGTCCTGAGTGCTGTCTTTGAGCTTTTGTGCTTAAAACTAGCACTCCTGTCCCAGCTCTACTTCTGCCTTTTTGTGGTTAATTGGAGATAAGAGTCTCACATGTTCTGAGATCTCAGCCTCCTGAGTAGCTAAGATTACAGGCTGAGACACAGCGCTTGGCTTCATTTTTTTTTTTAGCTGAGGTTCAAACTTACCCTTACCATCGGAGCCATACCTCCAAACCCTGTTCTTGTTTCTTTTGGGGGTGGGAGGAAGGAGCGGGGGGGAGGGGGGGCAGTCTAAAGGCTTGAACTTAGGGCCTGGGTACTGTCCATGGCTTCTTTTGCTCAAGACTAGCACTCTATCACTTGAGCCTCAGCACCACTCCCAGATTTTTCTATTTATGTGGTATTGAGGAATTGAACCCAGGACTTCAGGCATGCTAGGCAAGCACTAAGCCACATTCCCAGCTCCTGTTCTTGTTTCTGTTTTTTTGTTTGTTTGTTTTGCCAGTCGTGGGGCCTGAACTCTGGGCCTGGGCACTGTCCCTCAGCTCTTCAGCTCAAGGCTAGTGCTCTACCACTTGAACCACAGCGCCACTTCCAGCTTTTTCTGCTTATGTGGTGCTGAGGAATCGAACCCAGGGCCTCATGCATGCAAAGCACTCTACCACGGAGCCACCTTCCCAGCCCCACTTTCTGTGTGTGTGTGTGTGTGTGTGTGTGTGTGTCTGTGTCTGTGTTTAATCAGTCCTAGGGCTTGAACTCTGGGCCTGGGGCTTGAGCTCTTCAGCTCAAGGCAAGCGCCCTGCCACTTGAGCTACAGCACCTCTTGTGGTTTTCTGGTGGTTAATTGGAGATAAGAGTCTCACAGACTTTCCTGCCCTGGCTGACTTTGAACCACAGTCCTCAGATCTCAGCCTTCTGAGTAGCTAGATTACAGGCATGAGCTACCTGCGCCCAACTTCTTGTTTCTTTTTTTTTTTTGGTCCGGTTGTGGGGCCTGAACTATGGGCCTGGGCACTGTCCCTCAGCTCTTCAGCTCAAAGCTAGCGCTCTACCACTTGAGCCACAGCGCCACTTCCAGCTTTTTTTTTTTCTGCGTATGTGGTGCTGAGGAATCGAACCCAGGGCTTCAGGCAAGCAAGGCAAGCGCTCTACCACTGAGCCACCTTCCCAGCCCCTCTTGTTTCTTAAGATAGGATGTTGCTATGGTGTTGAACTTCTAGCTCCCGTGCTGGTCCTGCCTCTCAGCCTCCTAAATAGCTGTGACTACAGGTTGCCCTACTCAGGGTAATACTTTTGAATTATGAAATCTTACTAAAAAATGACAAACTTTTACATTAATAATTTTTCCTTTCAGGGGGAGTAAAACTTGGGTTGGGAGATTTCATTTTCTACAGTGTTCTGGTTGGCAAGGCCTCAGCAACTGCCAGCGGAGACTGGAACACCACCATTGCCTGTTTTGTAGCCATATTAATTGTAAGTATACACTAAAAAAAAAAATGTCAGGACTTCAGTCTAAATTCTGAGTTCTCTGCATCTTTAAAGCAATTTGCTTTGACTCTAGATGGGCTGAGAGCGCCAATCACCTGAGAAAGAAACTTTTTTTTTTTTGGTCGGTCGTGGGGCTTGAACTCTGGGCTTGGGCACTATCCCTCAGCTCTTCAGCTTAAGGCGAGCATTCTACCCCTTGAGCCACAGCGCCACTTCTGGTTTTCTAGCTGTTTATTGGAGATAAGAGACTCACAGACTTTCCTGCCCGGGCTGGCTTTGAACTGTGATCCTAAGATCTCAGCCTCTTGAGTAGGATTACAGGCATGAGCCACTGGCGCCCAGCAGTAAGAAACTTTTTAAAAAAGAACAGATAACTCGACTTTACGTGAGTGATTGTGCACTGTGCCACACACTAGTCACCTGGGAGCTTTCAAACCGTGAGATCAGCTGGGAGCTATCATATTTAATTTGTTTTGTATAGTTCTTAAGAGTTCTTTAGGAAATCTTGAGTTCTTCTGATTAGGAACCATTCCTAGAGCCCAGCAGCATAGATACATAGGAAGTTTGCAGCCTAGAACTGAGTCTGAAGGAGGTCAACAGGGATTGTCCCTGGCCCACATAACAAAGGTTGGGGATTTTGCAGCATTCAGGGTTTCTTTGGGTAGCAAGCCCACTGAAAAACACTGCCTATGTGGGACCCATGCAGACCCTGCTCACAGTGGTACAGAGTGAGCTCCAGGAATCCATACTTGTGACACAAGCAGATAGTCCACAAGCTATTTCATACTTCTTACTCTACTCAAGATGAGTGCTGTTCATGCACACTACATGAGCAAAGTTAGATGAGTTTAGGTAAGGGCCTTTACATATACATTTATTTGGTGCTTGTATATATGACATCATAAATAGAATTTTCATGCACTTTATTTCTCTTTGGAGGTGCGTTTTTTTGCTTGGAAAGTATTGGCTGTGTTATATGTTGTTGTTGAAGATAACGTTTTTTGTGAGGGTAGGTGCTCAGGACTTAGGCCTACTCAGCCCCAACGTCTATCATGGAGCCATCTGTTAAATCTGTGAAGAGCATTTGATTCTGAATCTGAAGTAGTGGCCAACTTCATCTTTATAGCTAGTGTCTCAGTGATTAAGGCATTATATTAAAATGAACTGTTTTATATACCTCGGCATTTACAAAAAAATAGTGTATATACTACATCATGTACCAGCTTTCCTTATCATTTCTTTGTCCCCACCACATATAAGGGATATTCTGTGCTTTGGGGTTTCTTCTTTTTTTTTTTGGGGGGGGGGTGGGGTGGGTAAGGGACTTGAACTTTGAACTCGATATGGACACTGTCCCAGAGCTCTTTAGCTCAAGGCAAGCACTCTACCACTTGAGCAGTTTAGTGGAGATAAGAATCTCACAAGCCGCACTGGTGGCTCACGCCTGTAATCCTAGCTACTCAGGAGGCTGAGATCTGAGGATCGCGGTTCAAAGCCAGCCCGGGCAGGAGAGACCGTGAGACTCCTATCTCCAATAAACCACCAGAAAGTGGTGCTGTAGCTCAAGTGGTAGAGTGCTCGTCTTGAGCTGAAGAGCTGAAGGACAGCGCCCAGGCCCAGAGTTCAAGCCCCACGGCCGACCAAAAAAAAAAAAGAATCTCACAGACTTTCCTGCCCCCAGCTGGCTTTGAACCACTCCTCAGATCTCAGCTCCTGAGTAGCTAGGATTACAGGCCTGAGTAGCTAGGATTACAGGCGTGAGCAACTGGTGCCCAGCTTTTTTTTTTTTTTTTTTTTTTTAATAGGTCATGGGGCTTGAACTAAGGGCCTGGACACTGTCTCTGAGCTTTTTTGCCAAGTCTAGCACTTTACCATTTGAGCCACAGCTCCATTTCCAGTTTTCTGGAAGTCTCATGGACTTTCTGCCCTGGCTGGCTTCAAACCATGATCCTCAGATGTCAGCCTCCTGAGTAGTTCGGATTACAGGCATGATCCACCGGCCCGAGTACTTCTGGGATTTTAACCAGCCAAATCAAAATCACTGACGTCTACTACATACAGAACTTAAGTGATTTTTTTTTAATAGTTTCGTTTTCTTTCAGATTCTATTCCTTTCCTAGAATTAGAGACTGAAATATCAACCATGTGTGTGCATAGTGAGCTCTGTAGTGAAAGAAAGTAAATGTTGTCTCCTTTTTATCAAGAAGCTATATTTTAGCCGGGTATAGTGGTGCACCTCTGTAATACCAACATGGTCCTTTTATTCCTTCTCTTGAGTAAGCTGTCACTAGAGCAATGCTTAATGAGCCCTGACTCTGTAAGCTGCATTGTTTTGTATCCATAGCAGTGCCTCTTACATTTAATGACGTGTCAATTTAACCACGAAGGATTTGTTACGGAGTTGTTTGCAGAGATGCTCGTATATCATGTGAGCATGTGTCTTTTCGGTTTTATCCACAGGGTCTGTGCCTTACATTACTACTCCTGGCTATTTTCAAGAAAGCATTGCCAGCTCTCCCCATCTCGATCACCTTCGGGCTTGTTTTCTACTTTGCCACAGATTACCTTGTACAGCCCTTTATGGACCAGTTGGCATTCCATCAATTTTATATCTAGTGTATTTGCGATCAGAATCCCATGGATATTTCTGCTTTGACTATAATAAAATCTGGGGAAGACAAAAGTGATTTTCTGGTATCCCCATCTAACAAAGTCAAGATTCCCAGCTGGACTTGTGCATCTTCCTTCCAAGTTTTCCCAACCACCTGCACAATTGGACATTGGAAGGAAGTGTCACCGGACAACGGTTTTCAACATACTTGATGGCGGTGGACTCTGTCCCTTGGTGCACAACTACCAGATTTGAGGGACAGAGTTGACAGGGAAGCACGATGGGCCAGGAAGCTACTGACCTCCTCAGCAGTGCAACCCTGTCACCAGGGCTTCTACCAGCCACGCTCTCTCAGGACTCCCACTAGCAAGAGGTTAAACGAGCAGTTCAAAGCCAACAGGACTCCTCACCTTGAACGTCACCTCGGAAATCCAGCTAGGAAATGCATGTGCATTGGATTCTGAAGCTCTTTTAGAGGTGTGTGAAGAGTAAGCACCGGTGGCAAGGTGGCCCGAGCTTCCACTTCCAGACTTCAGTGCTGCACACTTGACATTTTTCCATAAGACTTCCCCACCCTCCTTCCCCACTCTGAGTCCCATCCAATGTGTAGGTTGATTCTCCAGTGCTAAAACTCAGAACCATCTGTGGTAGCTGTTTGAACTTATTTGGGGCAGCTGTATCCTGAAAGTCTTCGCCTGAGGTTCCAAATACAGTAATTTTGGAAATACTGGAACTATCACTCAATGACTCCCTATCATTCTTAAGTAAATATTGGATTTTCCACCAAATTCCTAATTTAAAGACATTTGTAAGTTCACTTGCCCCAGATGCCTTCTCTGCTCCCGTCTTTCCCATCAGCCCCACAGCAGTTGTCTTCGGCATGTTGAGATGGCAGGTGTCACGTGGCAAGTGGTCCCCATAGTCCAGGGTTGCCCTCTCCTGTGACAGCAAATGGCCTCACTATCATAACTTTCCACAAATAAGATGTGTGGCCAAAGACAATTAAAGAAGAGTAAAGTGGCTGCTGAAGTCCTTTCTGTCCTGGTTTTTCTTTCATTACCATGGCTTGTCTCCGATCATAGGGCAGATTTGAATTAGGAGCTAGGGTGTAGCTCAGTGGCAAAGCACTTTGCCTGGCACTGCAAAACAAAATGGAAGCATAGAGTTTAAATTAATAGCCCAATGATGGTGGTTTGTGTTTATGAACCCATTTTATCAGCACAAATCAAGCCTTTGAAGAAAGCCATTGTTTTATTTGGTAAGTTCTCCCCGTGGAGAACCTGGGGTTGGGAGGAGCACCAGCCACCAGGAGAAGAGGGGCCTTCCACAGCCAAGGGCAAGGGGAGTTCACAGCCTGGGTGGACATGAAGAAGACATCCAGGTTGTTGCTCAAGAACTTCACAGTGGTGCTTTGCAGTCTCTGGCCATGTCCCGTCGTCACAGTACATCCTGGCAGCTGAGGTTACACTGGTGCTCAGGCCCTGGGTTTGGAGAGACAGTGCACACAGATGTTCTGGCAGCCTGGGGCACATGGCACCATGGGAAGCTCATACACCCACCCCTCCTTTGGCCACAGATCCCTTAGTGGTGAGGAGCTTTCCTCCTGGGGCTGAAGCAGGCCTGGCTTTTCCGTTTACAAAGCCTACTGTCTTGTCTCCTGGCCCATCAGATATAGATGACACAGTTTGGGATCCTCTGGAGTTGAGAATAATTGGTTCTCCGTCATGGGGTAGTTGGGTTTTGTTTTGTGGTGCTAGGGGGTGGAACCCAGGGCCTTGAGCATGCTAGGCAAGCACTGTACCACCCAGCTACACTCTCAGTATGGGATGGCCCTAAGAAGTTAATTTTAAGGGCTGAAGATGCGAATCAGTCACAGAGCAAATGAGGCCCTGGGTTCCATCCCAGCAACAACAACAGATGCTAACTTAGGAGGAGTGTGCTAGTACTAACGTGAATATGAGCAAACACTGGCTTGTCTCAGTGGAGAACCGGGAAAAGAAAAGCTGTGCTGGGAAGACTGGGTCTTACAGTGGCAGATTCTGTTAGTTCTTTCCTTTAGCCCCACCCTTCCCAAGATGTTCTTGTTCGACTCTCAGACAGGGATCAGTGTGGGCACTATCTCAAGCATGCATGGCCATGGCCACACATGGACATGGGTATGGACACACACCAGTGTGTGACTCTTAGTTCCCTACTCTGGAGTAGCTTATTTGTGCAAGGGCCCAAAGTGTATTATATCCTTGATGACAAAGAAGAGGGTGTGTACATATGTCTAGCCAAGAAATATAACAATTCTGCCTCTCCATCTCAGCCACATAAGACAGCATGCAGAGAGCTCCTCCGTGATCTCACAACTTTTCCTTCCAGGACCTTTTCCAGAATCACTCATTCCTACCGTATCACAATTCTAGTCTTCCATTATGAAAAGCAGCATGTCCCCAGGGAAGCAGCAGTTCTTCCCCCAGGGAGGAGGTGGGGAGGGGGGGAGGGGAGACTGGCCAGGCAAAAGCACAAATGCAGCTCAGGCCATCTAGCAGCTGCTTAAAAAAAGGGGGGAAGGCAGTAGGAAAACAGGACCATGACAGGCCTGGGTCTGACTGCAGGCTGAGTGTGGCAGCAGAACCCGTGGGAATGACAGCCATGCTTGGGAGACCCACACAGTCAGACAGGAAGCTCACCTTCCTGCTGTGTGCAGGCCAAGAGTCATAGCTTTGCCCTATAGTACTTCCTCCTTGAGAACTAATGGAAGCTTTCTAAGTTGCCAAAAACAATGTACTGACTTCCCTACAGAAGCAGCTTTTTTGCTTTCAAACTGGATCTCCATTTTTTGGTGTTCTGATTTTTTTAAGCTCTTCTTTAATAGTAGAGGATCATACAAATCATAAGTTTAGTGATGGTTCTCTACTTGGCCTTAGTTTCTGTGTGTCTATGTGTCTTTGTGTGTGTATTGGGGCTTGAACCTAGGACATAGCCATGTTACTAAGCTTTTTTGCTCAGTGATGGCACTTTACCATTTGAGCCACAGCTCCATACCTGGCTTTTTTGGTGGTTAGTTGGAGATAATGCTCTCAGCCTTTCTTTAGGTAGTAGGGAAGATTTCCCAGAAGGCAATTTTCCTTCAGAAATATGTAATTGTTGAAACTAAGCCCCCTCAAAATCAGCTGTGAGAGTTGGAGGTCCGGGCCTATCTGCAGGGGAGATGGGGGAGACGGTACTGGGTGAGCATTTCCACGGGTTGTTCACACTCATGGTGTCACCTTGGTCTGCTTCTTGAATACTGCTTTGTACACAATTCATAAAGTCTACATTTTTTTGTGTGTCAGCCTTGAACTCATGGCATAGCACCACTTCTGACTCTTTTTTTTTTTTTTTGGTCGGTTGTGGAGCTTGAACTTGGCCTGGATGCTGTCCCTGAGCTTTTCAGCTCAAAGTGAACACTCTACCACTTGAGCCACAGCGCCACTTCTCATGGACTTTCCTGTGTGGGCTGGCTTTGAAATGTGATCCTCAGGGGCTGGGAAGGTGGCTCAGTGGTAGAGCACTTGCCTCGCATGCCTGAGGCCCTGGGTTCAATTCCTCATCACCACATAAGCAAAAAGAAAAAAGCCGGAAGTGGTGCTGTGGCTCAAGTGGTAGAGCGCTAGCTTTGAGCTGAAGAGCTGAGGGACAGCGCCCAGGCCCAGAGTTCAGGCCCCATGACCAGACCCAAAAAATAAAAAATAAAAAAAATAAATGAAATGTGATCCTCAGATCTCAGCCTTCTGAGTAGCTAGGATTACAGGCATGAGGCACCAGTACCGAGCCCAACTTTTCTTTTTAATTGGACATAAATTTCACAGACTTCCCTGCCCCTTGTGGCTTCAAATGGTGATCCTCAGATCTCAGCCACCTGAGTTGCTAGGATTACAGGTTTGTGTCACCAGCACCTGGCTCCAATACAGCTTTTTTTTTTGTCGGTCATGGGGCTTGAACTCGGCCTGGGCGCTGTCCCTGAGCTCTTCAGCTCAAAGCTAACGCTCTACCACTTGAGTCACAGAACCACTTCTGGTTTTCTAGTGGTTTATTGGAGGTAAGAGTCTCACGGGCGCCGGGCGCTGGTGGCTCACGCCTGTAATCCTAGCTACTCAGGAGGCTGAGATCTGAGGATCTTGGTTCAAAGCCAGCCTGGGCAGGAGAGACTGTGAGACTCCTATCTCCAATAAACCACCAGAAAACTGGAAGTGGCGCTGTAGCTCAAGTGGTAGAGCGCTTGCCTTGAGTTGAAGAGCTAAGGGATAGCGCCCAGGCCCAGAGTTCAAGCCCCATGACCGACCAAAAAAAAAAAAAAGAGTCTCACGGACTTTCCTTCCATGTCTGGCTCTGAACCGTGATCCTCAGTTCTAACCTCCTGAGTAGCTAGGATTACAGGCATAAGCCACCGGTGCCTGGCTCCAATACAGCTTTTTAATCAAACGTCTTTCAAGTTCTTGGCAGGATATAATTTTGATAGATGACTGCAGATGTATTTGTGATTAATACAGCTGTGCTAGTTTTCTTGTAGAAGTATATGAAACTGCTGTGGTTAGCTGTGAATAGGACCAGTCCTCTACCCATGTACTAAAGGGGTCCTTGGAAGGGCTCAATATTTACCTATTTATGACAACCACATGGCCATGGGTCCATGTCTGAGTATTTAACAACAACAGATCAAAAACTGAAAAATGGGGCTGGGAAGGTGGCTCAGTGGTAGAGTGCTTGTCTTGCATGCATGAGGCCCTGGGTTCGATTCCTCAGCACCACATAAGCAGAAAAAGCTGGAAGTGGTGCTGTGGCTCAAGTGGTAGAGCACTAGCCTTGAGCTGAAGAGCTAAAGGACAGCACTCAGGCCCAGAGTTCAGGCCCCACGACTGACCAAAAAAAAAAAAAAAAAACCTGAAAAGTAATTTGCATCTGTACTGAACATGAATGGAATTTTTTCTTGTTTCTATTATCTGAGCCATATGGCATGGCACCTGTTTACATAGCATTTACATGACAGTGGGTCCCAAAACCTAGAGGTAGTTTAAAGTATGAACATAAATCATATGTGAGTGCAACACTTATATGTAAAAATAAATAAAACCTTGAGTACCTGAATTTCCCTATGGTGATTCTGGAACTGGTCCACAGATACTGAGGAAATTTTTTAGTTTTAACTTAAGGGCCACTTACATTTTTACCAGAATTGGCATCAGATCGCTATCCTCCTTTTCTTTTTCTTTTTTGTTGTTGTTGTTGGTTGTGGAGCCTGAACTCTGGGCCTGGGTGCTGTCCCTCAGCTCTTGAGCTCAAATCTAGCGCTCTACCACTTGAGCCACAGCACCACTTCCAGCTTTTTCTGCTTATGTGGTGCTGAGGAATGGAACCCAGGGCCTCATGCATGCAAGGCAAGCACGCTACCACCGAGCCACCTTCCCAGCCCTGCTTCTTTATTTTGTTTTTTTGCCAGTCCTGGGGCTTGAACTCAGGGTCTGGGCACTGTGCCTGAGCTTCTTTTTGCTCAAGGCTAGCACTCTACCACTTGAACCACAGCACCATGTCTGGGTTTTTCTGTGTATGTGGTGCTGAGGAATCGAAACCAGGACTTCATGCATGCAAAGCAAGCACTCTACCACTAAGCCACATTCCCAGCCCCTCAATTATACTCTTAATTCTTGGTTCTGGAAAATATTTCTTAAGAAATTTTACATCAGTGTGCCTGCTTTTGGAACAAATTGTAAACTTACAGGACATGTATGTTTTAGTATTATTTAGTATTTTGTGTGCTAAAGGACTAACATTGGAGCTAAGAGTCTAGCTTAATGGCAAAGGATGTCCAAAACTCTGGGTTCCATCCAACACACAAATTACATCGATAACAGTAATGAACAACAATGTCATTATTTGTGTCACTCTCATAGTATGTGGCTTCTTACTCTGTCCTAAAACTCTACAAACCTTTCTGCTTCTAAACAGAATAGCAAATAGTGTTGAGAATGATTGATCAGACTCCTGAGAGGAAGCAAAAGGAGGT